AAATAAGCATGTAGGGGGGCAAGGAAAAGAAAGAATAAAGGAAAACTTCCTGTATTTCTTTTTAGCATAATTCAGGATTCATCTCCCATTCTCCTTGTCTGATTCCTATTTAAAAAATGCAAAGAATTAAATTCAATTTTGAGATGATCCCATGTCTCAGATTTTTGAAGATTTTGCTCCCCTTTTAACCTCCCCTTCCCCCCTTAGTAGGATTCTAGCCCTAAACAAATTAACTGGGTAAAAAGAAATACATCTCTGTTTATGTTGACATGGATGAAACTATAAGGCCAATCCATTTTCTTCCCATTCTTGATAAAATATCTTGTTTTGAGAAAGGGGATAGTTTGGTCATGGGAAGAAATTCTAACCCATGATGCTGTGAAAAAAGGAAAGATAGGAATTCTTTCCCTAATTCAGTCTTCTACCACCTACAGGGTGTCCAGTTCTTAAAAAGTACTTCACAAAAGAACATTGTGTTTTCAAAGCAAAATGGGATTTATAAAAAAAAATATACCTTGATGTTTGGAATGTAATATGGAAAGGCAACAGGATGTTTCCCAACCTTACATCCAACTAAAAGGTTTACCTTTCTAAATGCCCAATTTATGGCAACTTTGAGCTACATTCTATTAAAGTAAGGTGTGAAACTATTTTAATGAGTAAGAAGAACTGTCCTGTTGTCATATATTTCTGACAGTGTACATCTAAGTTTCAAGCGCTGTAATGTTGGGACATCAGTTGTAAAAAAAAGAGAAAAAAGTCTCTTACATCTTTAACAAACTTTTTAAAGAGACCTTACTATTATGGAAAATAATAAAGATTGTGTATATTTCATGGATATATTTTGTCTTAAACTGTCTTGTGGTTGTTGGAGAATAGATTTTTTTATTGGACATTCGAATTGGAATTTTATCATTCTTTTTCTTTTCTCTTCAAAAACATTGTTTCTTCTTACGTTGAAGTTCTAATATATATTTATGTATCCATACATAAATATAGATATCTATTTGAACACACACACCACATATGAGCTTAAAGTAACTGTTTTACTGATGCTTCTCAAAATGAATGTTTTAAGAAGGGAATATGTTCATGTAAGTTTACATAAAACCTAAAGGTCTTTTTTTGGTTCAGTGTTTAGAAAATTCTTGATAATTTAGAATCTTCCACAATGGAAAGTAAAGCATTCTGTCACAAAAGCAGGGAGGATGAGACACAAGGTCAAAGGGCATTTTAGAAACAAACAGCTGGTCCAGTTTATTTAAACAGATACAGGGATGGGGGAACTGACCTCTGTTTGACTTATAGTGGGAGGAGCAAGAATGTCATTTTATTACTTTGCCCAGAAGGAAAATGTTTTTGTATCTGAATTCACCCCGAAGCCGTCTAAACACATGGCTTTGCTGTATGTAGCCTAATTCCGAAGAGAGTATATAGAAGACAGTCTAGGATAAAATACACTAAATAGAACCAAATGTTGAGATGGTTTTAAAATTGAAAAGATGATGCTATTTACTTAGTTATTTTCAGATAAAGATGTCTGCCATGACCATAGATAATATTATCAGTGTTTCATGTAAGTATAGGAAGCATAATCCAATAAGATTCTGAGAGTTTCCTATGTCTTCTATGTATCAATAATGTTCATTATATTCAACAATTGTTTTAAATTCGTTTTCAAAAGTGAGAAGTTATCACCATACTGCTAATGTGGTCAAAACACTTTGGACAAAGTGATTAGGGGTTCTGAGATTTTCAGCTTTTTAAATCTTTATTTTATTAAATGCATGGATTCTCACCTTTATATCTACATATCCTATAGGTAGCCTACATCTGTGTTGTCAATAACAACAAATGGCTCTTGCCACCAAAAGGGAAGAAAATAGCACCTGGTACCTGTGGCCCCTTAGCTAAAAGGCTGTGATGAGGTATTCACTCTCTACATGAGTACATCACTCTCTGATGAGGTATTCACTCTCTACACTCATCTACTCTGGGGACCAGAGCAGATGTGGAGTAACTGCGTTTAATGATGTCCCCTGAATACCTTTAGAGGCACACAGACAAACCTCAGCATACTGAGCAGAGAGTATGGCCCAGGTGGTGAGTGGACTCAAAACCCAAGAAGAACTTTCATTCTACAAGAAACTTGTTAAGAATCATGGATGTTTGGGGCACCTGGGTGGCTCAGTCGCTTAAGTATCCGACTCGTAACTTTGGTTCAGGTCATGATCTCAGGGTGGTGAGATCGAGCCCGCGTTGGGCTCTGCGCTGGGCGTGGAACCTGCTTAAGATTCTCTCTCTCCCTGTCCCTTTGCCCCTCCCCTCTGTGCTCGTGCTCTCTCTCTCTGTCTCAAAAACAAAAACAAAACAAAACAAAACAAAAAGGAATCATGGATGTTTAACTTAAGGAGAAGCCTATGGGACATGATGCATGATGGCTATACTTTAAATTTTGAAGGCTATCCTGAAGAAGTGAGATTAGAATTGTTTAAATTCCCCCAAGGAGTTGTCCTGGTGAAAGGATTTTAGATCAAGTAATGCAGAACCTTCTCATAGTTACCTTGTCCATAGCTGGAGTGCACTTTCAGGTGAGGTGGCAAGTGCTTTATTAGAAACAATCCAGCAGAGGCTACCTATCTACTTGGTGGGGATGTCGTAGAGATGATTCATGTCAGTGACCAACCTAGGTGACAGTGAAAGCCCTTTTCAAACTGAGATTTAATTTTTCTATGATTCCTTGGGTTTAATAGTCATAGATTCAAACCTAAGTTGGTTATTATGAACTGGTCTTTGGAAATCTGAATGTATGAGTGTGAAGGAAGCAAGCTTTGGAATACAGATAAGTCACTGAATCTTCTGATGCATAGCCTTATCTTTGTCCATATGCACAAACAGTACAGTCATCAAAATCCCCAGTCTACAGAATGTTCAGTCATGCTTATTCCCAGACTCAGCAGTAGGGTTGTTGACAGTGGTGACTGGCTCAAAACCAGCTCATTCTTAGCTATCTATTTAGTTCAGAATATTCTAGATGGGTGGCACAGTAGGGGCCACGCTCTTGTCAGGATGTTGGGGGAAGGGGTGTTCACTACCATTTGCCAGCTGTGTGTCATTCAGCAAGTTATTAACATCTCATGGGTAACATGTGACCTCAAATAAGTCACTTAATTTCTCTGAGCCTCAGCTTCTCATCTGTTAAAAAGTGCTCTTCCTATTTTTAGATGAATAGTATAAATCATATCCACAAAATAATATGTTTTTAAAAGGACTTTTAAAAAATGTTAGCAGAGTTCCTTTCCTTTAAAAGCCTGCAGATTATGAACAGAACCGTAGAAAAAGAGCTGTTTTTTTTGCTCTTTTACCTATGTTAGTTACTATGAAAATTACTTTTGGTATATGCGGAATATTAATATTAAATAATTTTCTAATTGGTCATGCAGTGAAGGCAGCTAATGAAAAAGCAGATTTTTTTTTCATTTTAATTGGTTATTTCACATGGTGTTTGTGCTACACCTGTGCTTATAATGAGAATGGAGAATTAATCTAACCTTCTGCTCACATGATTCCAATTTTCATGGTTTATACAAGATAATGATAACCTGATTTGCAACACAATTTGTTGTAGATCTGTGTTTTAAATATTTTTATTAGCCAGTTCGGGGACTTCATATACAAGAACTGATATATATTGCCAATAAGAGTTAGAACTAACCGTGCCCTTTTAGTTAGATTCCAGTTTCATTATTGACTTTAATTACTTTTCTGATAATAAAAGAACAAAAGGATATAGGATATTGAGAATCTTAAAATGTCACGAAGCATGTATTTTTATTTTAAAAACCTGTCCCTCTCTGTGTTCAGTGGTTTGTTTTTTTAGGAACTACTTTCCTTCCTGAGGGGGCAGACTTACAAACTAGAATTCATATCGGACTATGGACCCTTTAATCATTATTAAACTTCTCATTGTATTTTTTATGTGCTGCTCATGTTCCATCTATTCAAATCTGAGTTGAAAACTAAAAGCACTTTACTTTTTCAGAATCTAATATGTCCCACTCGTTTTCTGTATTTGATATATAATTCTTAGCGTTACACAATACAAATGGATCTTAAGAGTTAGAAATTTCACAAGCTTGATTTTGTAGGGCTTGTACTAACCACTTAAAAAAGAATTCAGTGGCTAGCCACTTTTTGAGAGGCTGCAAAAATTGTAAAAAATAAGCCTTATTAAGACACTTAAATGACTTAATTAGATGTTTATTATAAATTTCCAGGGCTAGCTGGAGAAAGCAATATTATAAGTTCAATTACTATATAGCTGTGACCTCGCCTTGACCTTAGACTTTGCATAAAGAGCCAAAAAAAAAAAAAAAAAAGCCACCCAAGAAATCTCTACAAGGAATGCGTTTCTCTGAAGTCCCCAGCAGTGTGAGTTAGTGGTGATAAACTCCAGACATTCTCTCATTTGATGGTGTGCTGCCATCCCAGTTCATTATCTTAATAGTGGGCATTAAAATAGAATTAGGTTTGCAAGAGGTAGGGAAGGTTTTGATAAAAACTGTAAAAAAGAAGTCAGAGAACATAAGATTGAAATGTCACTAATTAGGAGAGGTAACAGATGCCCTTATGAACATCTTGCTCTCTACGCCAAATTTCCCCCCTTGCAATTGAAAAGAGTGGTGGCTCGTATTGTTTCCTGAAAACTCTGCTAATTCCCCCATGAAACGATGAAATGGAAGTGTCCAACTGTGGTAAAACAGGCAAACATGAATCAACTCAGAAACCCCAAGCCTGTGTACTCAAAGGTCACTGGGGGTTGCAGGTTGTGGGGCACGTGAAGCCCCGCGCAGATCGGTGCAGAGAACCATTTTGCCAAGATCTAGCTTTGCTCTCACTGTGCTTCGTCTTCTCCTCTTCCTCCACCTCCTCCCCCCCCCCCCCCCCGCCGTTTTTGTTTAAGGAATAATGAATGACTCACTCTACTTTCTTGGTTACAGGTTTATTAATGCCCGGAGGAGAATAGTGCAGCCCATGATAGACCAGTCCAACCGAGCAGGCAAGTCCCCCATAGTGACTGTATTCAAGTCACGCAAGCGAAAACCATCCTCAAGCCATTCACCGGGAGGTCCGCTACCTGGTAAATAAACTGGGAGTGAGTACTAGGAGCGCCTGGCAATTAAAATTAAACCAGTTTAGTTTCATAACAACACTAATCAATTTAACATCATTATACAACATTTGGAGAAGGTAGGGGGGGGAAAAAGCCAACGGAGAAAAGTAACTTAAATCATATGCTCAGTTACAATATTCTCTGTACACATTCAATATATTAATGGTATTTTTTTTTTTTCTGAGTTTGCCTTCCCAGTTCTTTCTGCTACTATGACCACTCCCTGGTGCATGGCTTGGTGTGGAATTGCTGTAAACTTTATTACCTGTCAAAAGGGCAAAGGGGTCAGGATCGCTTGTGGGACTCAGTAAAGTTCAAAGACATTCAATGAGGTAGAGCTTTTGTGTGCTTTAATAACCCAAGGCAGCTCACTTCTGAAGCAGCTTTTCATGTACAGTTAAAACATGGGATTCAGGTAGTGGTATAAATACACAGTTCTTTTTTCTCAGGACTTCTCTTGTGAATATCTATCTTCTGGTGTTCAACTTTTTTATTTTTTTAAATAACAGCTTTTTTTGTTTTTTAATTGTGTGCTTGAAAGGGCAAGACTTCTATGGGATCCTGGCTAAAAATCCAATGAGCATCTTTCTAGGGTTTGTTTTTGTATTGTAAAATGCCAGTAAGATCAACAACAGTGTTTACTAGGGGTGATGTAGGTCTGGACTCTCTTTATAAAATACTCTCTCATCTCCTAGGGAGCACTGTGAAAAACGATGTTAAGTATCACATTTAGACTGAGTCCTGTAATTTTTTTTTTCCTTCAGCACCCCATTATATGATGACTAGACAAAAACCCAAACATAAAGTTTCTATATCTTAGCTGTTCCTTGAACACAGTGTTTTAAAACTCAGTCACAGAGGTGTCTGAGAGCTGACCTGAGGGAAATTTAACTGTGAATGTTTGAAAATTATCCCTGCCTAGTATGTTCTCTCTGTCTCGTCTCCTTCTGTGTCTCTCTGGCTATCTCTTTCTCTTTTGGAGACTGTTATTAAGAAGCTGTGTTCTGCACTTTTGTAGTAAGTCAAGGAACACCTTATAACCCCGACGGACAGCCAATGGGAGGTTTTGTCATGGACGGTCAGCAACACATGGGAATCAGGGCACCAGGTAAGACTGTTTTTGTGATTGCTTCTCATTTTTACCTCCGAGAGTGTCACCCCTCATCGGCACAGGTAAATTCACCTCATGCTTTGCTGTTACCTCCAGCTGCCTGCCTTGCCTGCCACATCTGTGCATCTAAGATATTGCAGAGGGGAAGCCAGGATCTTTATGCGCTGAAGATCTCACTGTTTTTCAACCCTCTGGAACCTGTTTTTTTTTTTTTTTTTTTTTTTTTTTTTTTTTTTTTTAAGGGTCTTTTGGCACTATCTGTTGACTTTGCTCATTTTCTGGCCTCTTCTTGGATTTTTATCTCCCTTCTAGGACCTATGAGTGGAATGGGCATGAATATGGGCATGGAGGGGCAGTGGCACTACATGTAACCTTCATCTAGTTAACCAATCGCAAGGCAAGGGGGAAGTAAGTACAAATGGGGTCTTTGTTTTCACTTTGTCCTAGGAATATTTTTCCTCTTGCATTTTCTTATGTTCTCCTTGCCCATAGCTTCATGCTTGTTCATTCCTTTCCATGAAACTCCTGGTTTCTTGCTTCCTTCATTTTCTCCTTGGTCGTGATCAAGCTTTTAAGCTTATAAATACTGTGTATGATGTACATTTATCCTGTGTGTTGCTATTATACAGTACTGACCACATGACAAAACAAGAAACAGTCAGGAGGTGGGGGAGTGGGTTGTCATAGCAACAGACTGATTTGCAAAATGTAAGCAGTCTGCAGCAGTGCAAGGAGAGGAAAGAGCATGTCCCCAAAGTGTCATAAATCTGTCTAACCGCAGTTGATGCATGAGTTACATTTCTACACTAACCTGCAAGACACCGAAAAGCCAAACAGAGACTTCTTTTAGGTAAAATAAACGCTCGCTTTACTTAGGGTAAGTAAAGGCATATTTTGAGCCTCAGTCAACTAAACTTTGATTTTTTTTTCGTAGTTTATTCCTTTGTCTGTCCATCATAATGGGATTACGTGTGGCAATGGAAAAAGGGAGAATACAAAATAGAGGTGTGCACAGCAGGCTGCAGGGCTTAGCCCAGGCTAATTGACTATATCCAAATTAAGTATGCCATCACTTGCAGTGTGACAAATGGATTTGACTTATTCAGTATACAAAAACAGAGATCATTAATGCAATCTTCAGTGGCAGGCCTAGTGAAGTGGGCCTAGGAAAACTGTCCCAGATTCTTGCTCTTGCATTTGCTCTCCTAAAAAGACACTCCAGCAATTCGTGTTCAAACAAGTAAAACTGTTTTGAACACCAAAGCTCTTGTTCACTTCCTAAATTACCCCTAATAGCATTGCTTGTGCTTTGTTTCTGAAATTAAAAGCAGTTATGTCAGAGTCTTGGTTGTGTCTCTGATTATATTAACACACTATTTAAAATCGCTTTGGAGGCCAAGGGTAATTCGTACTGGTCGTCTTCTCTGGGTGCGAGTCAAATATAAGTTTAACAATTAGCTCTTGAAAACATTCCATTGAGCTTGGGAATGCAACAGTCTTATTACCTCATCATGGAATTCTCTAGCTTAGTTAATTTAAATATTGTTTCTTAGTTTCTGGGTCAATTAAATTTAAATGATGTATTTTATGCTTCGTGACCAATTAAATTAATAGGTTATTACAAAAAATATTATCATCTTTTTTGATTAAAGAGCTGTGGGTACAGTATATTTTATAAGCAATTTTCATTAGTTCAAAAATGTTCCTTTAGGCTAGATTAAGCAGCCATTCATTGCTAGAGCCTGGAGACCTTATTCGAAGGTGTTCATCGTATTCACAGTGCACTATTACTTAGAACTAAAGCCAATTGAACCTACTTAGCAATAGCGTTATGCCTTTCACCCTTGATGATTATGGAGCTTATAGCTCTCAGAAACAATACACCTGTCAGTTTCCATCAACTATAGCAATCCATGCAGAAGACAAGAGGCCCCTCAAAGCAGGAGGGGTATTGTTTTAGGTCCAATTTTTCTTATTGTTCTCAAAATCATTGTAAGGTGGACAGGGTTTTGAGGAGGCTTTCTTTCCCCCAGCTCCAAGAAACCACGAGGAAGGAATTCATTGATAAGTGTTCTTGTTTATTATTATGGTTGTTGTTTAAAGTACCGGTTTTGCTACATAATCAGCCTTAGGAAGCCTCTCGAGTTCAGACTCATGCGAGGTGTTTCCTGAGCAGTACAGTGTACTTCTGGACTCTTGGTAGAGAATGTTTCGGGGAACAAAAGTGCTTCCTCAGATCAGACCTCAAATAACAGTTTTATTTTTTCAAATAAACAAGACCTCAGTAGGCAGACCTGATAACAGTGGCAAAGAAAGGAAAATAGTTGCCAAATGTGAGTTTCCAGTATGACAGTGTTCATTTTATTTCCTTCTGTGTGAACTGAAAGAATTCAGAGCTCCGTTCCCTTAATCACAATCAGTGTTCCCTGGCTTTCATAGGATTGCCACTGCCAGAGCCACGCTACTTGCTTTTTCATAATATTTTCTTTTTGTTTCTTTCTTTTTGAATTTCTACAGGGCTGCAAAGTATGCCAGGGGAGTATGTAGCTCGGGGTGGTCCAATGGGTGTGAGTATGGGACAGCCAAGTTATACCCAACCCCAGATGCCCCCCCATCCTGCTCAGCTGCGTCATGGGCCCCCCATGCATACGTACATTCCTGGACACCCTCACCACCCAACAGTGATGATGCATGGAGGACCGCCCCACCCTGGAATGCCAATGTCAGCATCAAGCCCCACGGTTCTTAATACAGGAGACCCAACAATGAGTGGACAAGTCATGGACATTCATGCTCAGTAGCTTAAGGGAATATGCATTGTCTGCAATGGTGACTGATTTCAAATCATGTTTTTTCTGCAATGACTGTGGAGTTCCATTCTTGGCATCTACTTTGGACCAAGGAGCATCCCTAATTCTTCATAGGGACTCTTAAAAAGCAGGAAATACCAACTGAAGTCAATTTGGGGGACATGCTAAATAACTATATAAGACATTAAGAGAACAAAGAGTGAAATATTGTAAATGCTATTATACTGTTATCCATATTACGTTGTTTCTTATAGATTTTTTAAAAAAAATGTGAAATTTTTCCACACTATGTGTGTTGTTTCCATAGCTCTTCACTTCCTCCAGAAGCCTCCTTACATTAAAAAGCCTTACAGTTATCCTGCAAGGGACAGGAAGGTCTGATTTGCAGGATTTTTAGAGCATTAAAATAACTATCAGGCAGAAGAATCTTTCTTCTCGCCTAGGATTTCAGCCATGCGCGCTCTCTCTCTCTCTCTCTCTCTGTCTTTCTCTCTCTCTCTTTCTCTCTTTTCCTCTCTCTCCCTCTCTCTCTAGCCTGGGGCTTGAATTTGCATGTCTAATTCATTTACTCACCATATTTGAATTGGCCTGAACAGATGTAAATCGGGAAGGATGGGAAAAACTGCAGTCATCAACAATGATTAATCAGCTGTTGCAGGCAGTGTCTTAAGGAGACTGGTAGGAGGAGGCATGGAAACCAAAAGGCCGTGTGTTTAGAAGCCTAATTGTCACATCAAGCATCATTGTCCCCATGCAACAACCACCACCTTATACATCACTTCCTGTTTTATGCAGCTCAAAAACATAGACTGAAGATTTATTTTTAATATGTTGACTTTATTTCTGAGCAAAGCATCGGTCATGTGTGTATTTTTCCATAGTCCCACCTTGGAGCATTTATGTAGACATTGTAAATAAATTTTGTGCAAAAAGGACTGGAAAAATGAACTGTATTATTGCAATTTTTTTTGTAAAAGTAGCAGTTTGGTATGAGTTGGCATGCATACAAGATTTACTAAGTGGGATAAGCTAATTATACTTTTTGTTGTGGATAAACAAATGCTTGTTGATAGCCTTTTTCTATCAAGAAACCAAGGAGCTAATTATTAATAACAATCATTGCACACTGAGTCTTAGCGTTTCTGACGGAAACAGTTTGGATTGTATAATAACGCCAAGCCCAGTTGTAGTAACGTTTGAGTGCAGTAATGAAATCTGAATCTAAAATAAAAACAAGATTATTTTTGTCATGCTGACTCCACTGCTTGAAAAATTTGTTTACTGCCCCCCCAAATTTTTAAGGATTAATGCAGTAAATAGGAAAATTAATTTTAGCTCCCTCAGACATATTTGTACTTGAAAATTTTAACCACAAAGTAAATTATTTGATAATAGTCACTGATTTCTTTAAGCTGACTTAATGAACTCCTAATATCAGCAAATTTAAGGACCAAAGGCACTAAACTAACTGTAGCCTCAGATTGCATCCAACAGAATTCCTCACCTAGTATCAGTGAAATTATTCTTGCACATAATGGCAAACCTAAATACAGAGGTAAGTCTTTTACTAAGAATGTTACCCAGGATGAGCAGTAGATGTTTATTAGGAAATTAACTATGTGAATTGAAGAGACCAGACTTCAAAATCTAATTTTTATAAATATTCTCTATGTTCGCATTGGATAAAACTGGTTATTAACCAATTTTCCAGAACAGCTGTACAGAATTTCTGCATGGCAGCCAGCTAAATGGTACAAAATAACATGTTTAAGCTGGAATAGCTTATAATTTTATTTAAATAAAATTGCTGCTATAAAAAGTGCTTCCCAAAGCTAAGGGAGATATACAAATATTTTAATTAAGGCAAATTCTCCTTTTACAAGAATCATCCTTTTAGGAGTGATTGCTTTGTAAACAAAGGATGGGTCGGAGGAGAGCGCCTTAAACTCAAGTCTGACTTTCAGGCCCATGTCACCCTATAAACCCGCCCTGAACAATTCTATTTTCTATTTGAAAAGAGAAACCAGCTGTGGGCTGGGTTTACTAGGTGACGTGTGATTGACTGACTCACCTGCTGGAGCGCAGCGCGCATTCTCACCTTTTGTTTATTGGGCCTTGTTTCTAAACACGTGGATGCGCAGACGGAGCGAAGCTCGACCCTCAGCCGCCTCCGCGCGGCAGCGCCCTCCGCCCCACTCCGCCCCCACCCCATCTATGGGCTTGTTTAAATTTCAGATTTGGCCCCACTGGCAATTGTTTGGGGACATAAATAGTCCATATTAGTGAAATAATTCTCTTTTGGTAGCTGGTTACTAGCAGTTAACAACCATTTATTTACTTTAAAAATGAATACTAAACTTTATGAACTACCCATCCATTTGCCCCTCCTCCCCAGTACATGCCTGGGTGCGTGGGTTATTTTCAGCCTTTATTCTTGATGGTGCTCTTGCCGGTTGGGGGAGGGAAAGAAAGGGGAGGAGCCAGAGAGGGAGAGAGAGAGATGGGCAGGGGGCCGGGAGAGGCAAGCACCAGGAGGAGGAGTAGGGTGCAAGTGAAGAAGAATCGGGAAATATGGAGACTATGAAGATTCAAGATCATTAGTGTTCAATGAATTAGAAAAAATAAAACAAACTGTGTTCTTTCCTTGTGTTCCCTGCTCCGTGCGGCGGCTTTGTGAGGGCCTTGCTCTCCTCAGATCGTTTCTCCCCTTGCCTGGACACCCCCACTCCCCCTTAATGCGATTTTAGCTTTTTCTCTTGTAAATTTCAGAGCCAGCTTGGAGGTTATTGAGGACACTTATCTGAAAGAAAGAAATAATAGAGGTGCTGAGGGTGTTTTTGATGTTTCTTAAAAGACAAAAACAGAACGCCCTCTTCTAAACAAGGGCCCACAAGTGTACCTGCTTTTTATTTTTATGGGGGGGGGGCCCGCTGGTTGAGTGAGACCTTTTAGCACGATTTAAATATTTTTTAAAAAATTAAAAATATTTTACCCTATCATATTTAATCAGCTGTAATTATAACACATTCGAAATGAATAATATGCCTTGACAGTATTTTTATTGTTATTGTTCATTGCATGATGTTCGACTGCTTTAAAAGCACAGGAAAGAGAAGTAAACGCGCTACAAATGGGGAATTACCCTCGTTTAGCATTAAAATTCATTTAGATAAAATTGCCACAAACATTTAAATGGGAAGATTAGTTCCCCCTCACGCCTTATTGCACTCGCTCAATGGTTCCGTTAAGAACATTTTACACGTTGGAAATTCCGTCTTCTCAGACGGCTTGCTGTTTCCTAGTTACCCACATTCAAAGCAAAGGCGCAGCAAAGGCAGCCGCCGCGGCAGCAGCAGGGGAAAAAAAAAAAAAGTTTGGCAACTGGTCTGCAATTCATCCGCTGCTGGCCCCAGCCTCCCCTCCGCCCACAGCAGTTCGCCCCCCACCCCTCACCTTCCCTCACCCCACCTCTTCTCTCCCCATTAAGTAATTTGCTGAGTCCTGTCCTTCAGAGAACAAGTCGCTTAGTTGTACAGTATTTGAATATAATGTTAAAATACAAAGAAGCCAGTTTGCCCCTCCCCCGGTCTCCCCTCTCTGGCTTCTGCTCTGAGTTGAGGGTTTAGTTGGAAAGTGCTGAGTTTCTTACATCCCCTACTCTGAGGCTACAAGGCACGTTTTTTGGCTTTCTTTCCTGCCAGGACATTGCCAAGAAATTCACCACTGTTTTGTTTTTTTTTTCTTTTTTTTTTTGCTTGTATTAAAACGTGTGAAAGAATTAGTTTGAAAAGTCCTTGCTACATCTAGTTTCTCCCTCTCCTTTTCTTTTCTCGCTCTCTCTTCTTCTCTCTCCGCCCCCCCTTCTTCCCTCCCTCCTTCCTTCCTCCCTCTCCCCCTCCCTCCCTTCGCAGAGCCGCAGGAAAAGAAGAATGTCGGCTTCGACTGCCATCTTTTGGGGATTTGGAAAAACGACTCGGTAGGAAACGGAGGGAGGCGGAGGCGCGGGGGGTGGGGGGGAAACCCCCTTATTATCCTGTGTCGGAACTGGCTCCCTTAATCTGATGCTTAAATATTTCATGTGGAAAAATTACCCATAAAATTAGTTACTAACAATTTCAAATTGAAATCACTTATCGAATTATAAACGCATTAAAGCTGTATGGATGGTGTTAGGAGTTCCTCGGGAGGCAGCGGGTGTCTTCTCACTGTGCGCCCGGCCGGCGACTTTCGCCCCGGGGAGAGGCACCCCCGCGGAGCCTGGGGAGGGCGGCGGGGAGGCAGGCGCGGCGCTCGGGCGCGGGGTCCCGGCCTGGGGGACCTAGCGCGCGGCCAGGCCGGGGCTGCGGCTCACTGGGCCGGCGGGGGGCGGGGTGGAGGGAGGGGAAGGAGCGGCGGTGGGAGGCTCCGACCCCCGGGCAGAGGCGCCTACGGGGAAACTTCGTAGTCAAGCCCAAAGCTTCTGACAAGGAAAAACGCAAGCCCTACCCGCCCCCTCCCGCCCGCGTCTCCCACGCGACACGCAGATTTTGCGCTCCGGGTCGGCTGCTGTGTGCAGCGCCCCCCAGCCCAAGTCTGCGGGCCGGGGCGGGAGGCGAGACGCCGGTGGCGGGCGGCTGGGCCAACCTCGGCGCGGGAGAGGAACTCCCGCGGGCTGCCGCGGCAGCTGCGTGGAGTCCAGACCAGGACGCCGCTGCCCCCGGCGTCCTACCGTGCCCAGCGTCCAGGCCTGGACCCTGTGCCTGTGAGGACAGGTCTATGCTTAGAGCCCAGGGCACCTTGGGGGGCGGCTCCGGCATCTCCAGGGGCTTCCTATCTCCTCCCGACCGCAAGAGGAAAGTCAAGTGTAAGGGGGCTGCTGACTTTGTCTCTGGAGACGAGACGACCCGGGTCTGTGCAGGAGGTTGTGGAAAGGCACCTCCTGGGGCACTCTGGGCCCCCTTCCCTTAGAACCGCTCGGGTGTGCTTTGTGGTGGACTAGAGGCTTCTTGATGGATTCTATTGCCGAGTCCCACCGCGGCGCTGGGAGCGCGACTCCGAGAGCTTGGGGGCTCGGAGGGCATTTGGAACCCGGGCAGCGCCCGCCGGGCGGGTCGCGAGTGCCGGGGGGGGGGGGCCGCAGTAGGGGGTTCGTGGGCAGCACCCCGAGTCCTTAGGCAGGAGCTCCTCGGGATCGCTTTAAAGCCTTTGCAAACTTTCCCTTGCCTTTTAGGATCCCAGCAGGCCCTTGGCCCACGTGAACGCAGTAAAAACATGACTTGATTCGAGCTCCCCGGGTGGGCGCTTGGACGCCCGGCTGAGTGGCGTGGAACTGGATAGTGGTGTGCCCCGCCTGGCTCGGCATTTCCCCTCGTATTTCAACCCCTCTTCCGTGCCATCCCGCACCCCCTTGACTGTTAGCGGTCCGCCGCACTCAGGGTGGCCAGGTGCAGTCTACACTACGTTGGGAATCCCGGAGCCAGGGAAAAGAGCGGTGAGGGAGAGAGAGCGGGGGATGGCGGGGAGCGGGCTGTGTGTGTGGGGGGGGGGGGGTGTCACTTTTTGGCCCAATCTGCCCGCCAACGTGTCCGTAACGTCCTCTCCCAAGGCGGAGCTGAAAGGGAAAACAAACAACACATTGAGCAATCAGTTCGCCAACATTTGAATTTTTAAGAGCTTTTACCCAAAAAACGGGTACCCCGGGCGTCTTGGCAGGGAGATGAAGGACATTTAGGGTCTCGGTTGTTGCTGGCCGCGCCCGGGGGTTGCCTCTCCGCGCGCTGCCCCCTGCCAGCCAGGCACTCTCAGCCCACCGCGAGGGAAAACCAGGCGGTGAAGCCCTGGAGAAAAGGGATTTAGTTTTAAGCCAGTCTCCCATCGATCGGGTCGGTAATTCCTACCCCTGCCCACTCGCAGACACACTCACCTCTACCCTAAAGCATTAAGTTCATTACGCGAGCAATGATCTTAATCTCCAGGCGGAAAACGAGTCCCGGGACCTCGACGATTCGGGAAGCAGTGAATAAAGTCACCTGTTCACGCAGCCGCCCGGCCGGCTCCTCGGGGCGGGGGCCTCGAGTGGCAAGGCGCGCTGCGGAGGGGTCCCTCGCTCCGCGCCCGGGCGTGCCCGGCAGGGGTCAGGAACCCTGTGTCTGCTTTCCTCGGGGTTGACGACCTTCTGGAAGGGTGGGATTGCGCCCGCTCGCTTTCCTCCTCCCCTCCCTTCTGCTTTTGATCTTGGGGCCCCCCTCACACCTCTGCGCTCTCTTCCTCCTCCCTTCCCCCAAAGTGGCGAGCTCCCCTTCTCCACGGAAGGTCCCCAGGCTCTCACCTCCCACCCCACCACTACTCCCCGCAGCCTCAGGTCTTCGAACTGCAGTCTGGGTAACCTTTCGCCTTTTCGCGCTCGCCTGCTTCACCCAACAAGCTGGACATGGGTGGGTGGGGAAGGCTCAGCGAGGCCCTCTTGAAAGCCACTTGCTGAGGGTACCCTGGGGCTTTAAACAACCAGATACCTGGATCTGGGGGAGATCCCTGCGCCCATTGATAATTCCACCTCAAAGAAACCCAGCAAAGCGGCAAACACCCCTCTCAGACGCCTGATCCCCACCGACCCCCCTCGCTCCCCCCCCCCCCAACCTTTCGCATCGAGCAGCGTCTGGCACCGAGGGGAGATGGAGGCGAGCCACGCGCCCGGTCCTTGCTGGCCGACCCACGAGGCGCCAGCTTGTTCTGGAGACTCAGTTTCCACTGGACAGTCGTGAAAGCGGGGAAAACACAAGGCAATGGCTGTGTGAACCCACGTTCCCGCACCCCTTCCCGCACCCCAATCTGATTTTCCAGAGGTGCATTTTCAGGTAGTCCTAAACTGTGAACAGCGAGCTTTGTGTGTTATCTAATGCGGGTGGGGATGGAAGAGAAGGAGACTCCCACCGCCCGCTCCAATCTTTAATGTCTGAAATAACGAAATGCCTGTGTGGCAGCTGCTGCTGGAGCCAAAACTAACTCTTTGGAAGACGGAAAAGAGTGAAAGGCAAAGAAAGACTGTTCATTTTTTTTCCTTTGGTGCCGTTTGGGATGTCATCTGTTTCCTTGGCGACTGTGTTCAGCCCCCGGAGCCCCTGGGCTCCTGGATTGTTAGGGGGGAAAAAGCATGCTATTTCTGCACCGTCATTTATCACTGTCACCGCATAATGATTCCCCTTGCAGCCCCTTATTGATGTTTGTAATTGCATTATCTCATAAAGGAGGATGATCAATGAAACCGAGCCGTGCATTCTGGGGTCAGAGGAAGCCAAAGTACTGTTTGTCCCCTTTAATACAACAAGTACTCATTATCTTTAGGTCTGCATTCAAAAAATGATCTGATCTGGGGCTGACCCTGTCGGACATCCCAACACTTTTTAAAACGCGGTTTGTGTAACCTTTTGCTTAAATGCTAAATCAAGTACCTGTCTTGCATTTCAACGAAACAAGATGGTAAAACTGAATGGGAAAAGCGTTTCTTCCTTTTTCTTCCTTCCTTTTTTTTTTTTTTTTCCCCTGGGAGGGGTGCGATCGTTTGTAGCCTCCCGCGATTTTACACTGCAACTGCTTAGTGATATAATGTAGAAAAAGCAGCGCCCAACAACAAGGGACCCAAGTTATCTAATGAATGAAAAAATTGGGGATGAGTGGGTAAAAGGTATCTGGGAGCATTTAACAAGGTCGGTACTAAAGGATCAGAATAAAACCACATCCGGTTTAATTAATAAGAGCTATAAACTGAGATAATTCCCCATGATTCTGCCCTTGTTTCTCCCCTTTACAGAGTCATATCTCTTCGGTGTAGATAAATGACTTTTGTGCCTGTTCGATTCTCACAACAACAATAACTAAATCAGTTGTGCATTCTGTATCTAAAACCGTCTACAAACTCCAGCAAATAAAAAGAAGTTCATTTGTCTATTAAGGGAAGTATTTAGTTGAGCAGAAATGTCCCAGTAACATTGAATGGAGTTCATGTAATCCCATGAAAATCAAGTCCTCTTGTTGCACTGAAGTAAATGAAAAAATACAAAGGAGGAAAGGTCCAAGTGTAATTTTAAACTAAATGCATTATTGGACCATCACAGTGAAAACGTGATTGTGTGGCTGGGAGGGAGTGGACATCAACTTAGCTCACATTTAACTTAAAGGTTTTAGAAAAGAAACAAGTATCCCAGGTTTGGTTATCATTTTAATTTGTGGAAAGAGGAGAAATGGAGATAATTCTAGTTCATCACTTCAGTAAATTAAGGTGAATAACTCCTTCAAAGACAAAGTAGGCGAAGAGCTTATCTTAAACATTGCAAGGCGGTCTGTTACCAAAAAGAAAAGTTCCGAATCTTCTGAAGATGAATTCTTATGTTAATGACTACCAAAAAAAGAAGGAAAGAAAAAGGAAAGAAGGAAAGACTGAGCCCATGTGTTTATTTTAAAAGTTCTAGAAATAATTTTTAAATCAACAATATAAATCAACATTTTTAAATAAAAAGATCTAAATGAAAAGCCTTCACCATATGAGAAGATGAGTAGTTAATAAAATAGTGTGCCTATAATGTGACACCTTGACCTAAAACCTTAAATGGAATGATAACTATAACAAAAGGCTGAAATATTCCCATTTGGAAAAATAACTTTAATGATAAAGCAAAGAGAAGTTTCAATTGTGTCGAACTATCACTTACTTTTTCTCTAGAAGACAGGTTCTTCTAAAAAGTATTATTTTCCAGGAATTCTGTCAAGTCACTTTGAAATAATGTATGTTTTGTGTTATTTAAGTATTCTGGCACTTTCGTTCTTTGAAAGTGCTCAAAGTGAAATGGATATGCAGCGGTGCATATATTTAATATAAATGGTATCTTGTCGTTAACATAAAATATTAAAGGGAAAATGAAACTTTGGGCTTTGTCAGTTGAGATAGAATTTTTTAGCATAATACTCTTTTTCAGAACACACAAATGAAACCCCTTGATTTTA